AGGGAAAGTTCTCACTCTGTGTTATGAAAAGGACAGCCAGATATCAACTGTTACAGAAATGAAATAAGACAGAAAAATTTTAACAAACTGTTTAAACTATTTTCCTTAAAGAGACTTCATCTGCTGCCAGAGACCTTGAATAGCCTCCTGGTCAGTCATCCCGAAGCAGTTCTTCTCATAATTGCTGCACTTGGCTTCCACTTTGGGAAGAGAAGCCCCTGTTGTATAGTTGCTTGCATTTTTGCCCTAATACTTTCTACAGAACAAGGTCCTTTTTGTGTTTTAAAAGTTTTTTTTTCCCTGCCTTTTTTTTTTTTTTTTTTTTAAGGATTCTTGACCTTCTGATCTTGGTGTTGATGGTGTTGAGTCTTTCCCCTTCTGGTTTGATGTTTGAGTATCTCATAGAGATTTCTTCACTGGAGACTTTTCTTCAGTTTCCTCATAATTAAAATCATCATCATCATCTTCTTCATCATCACCATCATCTCTGTTATTATCCTCTTCATCAGCAGCATGTTTTACTTTTTTCTGTGGAACCTCACTACCACTTCTAGGGGCAGATCGCTTTCCAGATATACTTAAGAGCTTCATACTCTCCTCCTCTTCATCTTCTGACTCTGCATCTTCTTCTGCAGCTACTAAGTGCTGTCTACTAATAGGCACCGGCTTTGAACCACGCTGCAACCATAAGACCATGGGTGGTGATATTGCAAAACCCCCAAGGGAAACCATTGGCTATACAGCCATTTTCTTTTCTCTTTTTTTTTTTTAATTGCGTTTTAGGTTTTGGGGTACATGTGAAGAACATGCAAGATTGTTGCATAGGTACACACATGGCAGTGTAGTTTGCTGCCTTCCGTCCCCTCACCTGTATCTGTCATTTCTCCCCATGCTATCTCTTCCCACCTCCCCACCCCCCCGTCCCTCCCCCATTTCCCCCCAACGGACCCCAGTGTGTAGTGCTCCCCTCCCTGTGTCCATTTTCAAAGTGCCAGTGTTATTTTAATTGGATGGCTTTTAGAATTCATTGCCTCTGCTTCAGCAGTGTGCAATTCATCCTATGTACCAGCCCCTAAACTGACTATTCTTAAAGACAAATGTAGCTTTTTTATCTTTATTCATTTTAAAGTGACAAACTTGGTCAGCTTTTAGTTCATAACCAAAAAGATAGTTCTGGGGGGCATCAGGGGGTTCATGTTCATGTCCATTGAATCTTCCACTGGGATGGTGGCAAGCCCAAAGGTGGGAGAAAAGGTGGACAGAGATAAATGACTACTGCTCCAGAGAACAGTCATGGATGATGGAATCACACCTGCGCGAGAGGGCTGCTTTTGCAAATCTTTATAGTAAAGAGGCATTGGAATGATCTCCATTCTTCTTTGCTGCTGACGGTCCCTCCTATTCTGATATAAATTATTTCCAGTATGGTGTGTTTAGATATAATTTGCTGGATTAATATTTGGCGTCTTGAGTTTAATCACTGGGTATATCTCATTTTATTTATTCTTTAGAACATGATTTGAAGCTCGAGCACAGTAATACCTCATTTATTCAGTGACAATAAATAGTTGTTTTGTGAGTTTTCCCGATGATAGTAGTTATAGGGGCTAGCATGTATTGAGCCCTTATGTGCTGGCACTTTGCTAAATGCAACTGTAGTCAGGATTTTCAAAGATGGCCCCCAAGACCTCCACCTTGTGCAATTCATGCCTTGTGTAGGCCGACCCCTGGAGTGTTGGCTGGATTTAGTGACTGTGAGATGATAAATGTTTGCTCTTTTCAACCACTAACTTGTGGGACAATTTGTTACGCAGCAATTACCAATGAATACAGCTTTAGATACAACTTCAAATACAACTTCATCATTTCATCCACACAACAATCCAAGTGAAGTAGGTATTACTGTGTTCTCATGGGGTTCCATGGCATTGCCTCAACTTTCAGGTCCTCTGCTTCTCACTGCCTCTTCCCAAGTCTGCATACTTAATGTGGCCCTTCCTATTTCTGGCTGTCCTTAGGAATACTTGGCCTTCTTCTCTCCGTCTCTATCCAGCTGCCCTCTTGTAAATTAGCCCCTTTTTGCTGTTGATTCTCCCTAGCACTCAGAAATTGAGCAGAAATCATTTTCTCCCTCTTGCTGAGTTGTAAAATAACCAACTCATCTTTATGATGTTGCCAGCTTAAGATGTTCCCTGGAGGTATCTCTATGCTTCAAGCTGTATTTTCCCCGCAACAAAGGAGTTAGACAGTTGCTGTTAGAATAGTTTTCGGCTTTCATGTGTTTTTAAAAAATTCTCCTTCTGTTAAACCATTTTTCTTACAACCTGGGGTGGATTGCATGATTTGTATGCAAAATGAAAATCAATAGACTCAGAGTAAGGGCTGAGGGCCACTTTCTGTGCCTGTACATTGTGGCCATTTTTTCCTAGCACAGGTTCACAGCTTTGTTTTGGATAATTAGGGCTGTTAAAAGTTAATTTCTACCTAAGGTAGGTATTATTCTACCTTTTCATTTCATTTCATATTATTTGCAAAAATGGACACATTCTTATTTTATTCCCGGTTAACTCCAGCAATCTTATAACTCACTCATTCCACCAACATTCTCTTCCTCTCCTGTCCAGTCCCTGCTTGGCTGCTGATGAGCGTTTCTAAAACCCCATTTACATTGGGTGTGATTGATGATCACCTCCAGCATATCTCCATTAAATACTCTGGGGACTCTTTCTGGGATTAAATACTGATTGTTTCAAAAGATGAAAACTGAATGTTTAGAGTGAGGAATTGGCTAATGAAAGCTGGACCTTGCCTATTAAAAATTGTGAAATAAGTTTATGATGATTAAACCACGAATCCTGATTTATATTAAATTACATCCAAGTGTGAATATGAGTAGGAAAAAAAATAGCATGATTTCTAATTGAATGGTAACCTCTAAAATAATGGAAGTCATTTAAATGGAACATAGATACTTCTAATTAATATATTATATTGCTAGAGGTGTATTAGTAGCGATGGAAGCCACACTGGTGGTGGTGATAGTAGGTAGCGTGTTAGAATACCTACAGTGCGACACGGATACTGACAAGCACCTTATACACATTGTTTCTTTTAATCCTCAAAACCCCCTGTATTATAGGTGTAACACCATCCCACAATTTATAGCCTTATCTTCATTTCACGAATTAGCTTGCTCCTTTTCTCCTCCCAAATTCTGTCAGTCTTGTTTTTATCAGTCAATAAAATTTCATGTTTCTTGTTCTTATAGGCATGTGCAATACAGCAGTTTAGGGAAATGAAATATTTTCTATCATGAAATATTATATTTCTCTAAATCAAAATTTATTATAGCTGTTTGAAGCTTCCACCTGGGGGAATTTTCTGTCGTACAAGTCAGATAGCTTCTATTTGTTCTGCCCAGTTTAGCTTTTCTCTCTACTTTGCTGGATAAAATAAAAAGATGTGACAAAAGGAGACATTAATATCCACAAATCCATCTCTTCACAAGTGAAAATCGGTAACTTTTATGATTCCTTCGGCAAGGAGCTCCTTTTAGAAAAGGGTAGTAATTATAAATAATACTAATAGCTGCTGGCTGTAGTGATAGTAGTCCATTTGTCTTAGAACTCTTTTATGCACTTTTATTTCTCCAAGTGAATCAAGCTAGAATAAAGTTTGTAGTGTCTCTGTTATACTTGTGGTTTAGAGATGCGTTAGGAAGGAAAAAAAAGATGTAAGTAATTTGCTTGTCTATTATAATGTACCGTAAGGAATTATCAAGCATTAATCTAGTTATAATGCTCTTAAAATTCCTAAATCTTTCTTTTTTTCAAACTTGTTTAATTTAGAGGAATGACTTTGGTGAGCAGGGTGGCTCATGCCAGCTACTTGGGAGGTTGAAGTGGGAGGATCACTTGAGGCCAGAAGTTCGAGACCAGCCTGGACAATATAGTGACACTTCATCTCTAAGAAAGTTAAAAAAAAAACAAAACAAAAAAGAATGATCTTAGTAGGCAATTTTAGATAACAAACAGAAAAAGAGGAAAAAGATAAGTAGGCCTCAAGCTGTTACAGGTGATTACTTTTGAAAATGTGGTCAAGTCAAAGCCAATCCTCCCAAATACATCCTTAAAAAACAAGTCCTTGTGTATTTCTTATTGGAGGATTATGTGTTTAAAATAATTTAGAGAGAGCTCAACAATTGTAGTGTGACAGGTCTCCCACCAGGTTACTTAAGATTGTATGTCCACTGCTTGAACCCTAGAGACTGGGCAGTGAGCCACGGCCATGGTACCCAGCCAAAGAGTGGATGTCTCTGAGAACCCAAATATCCTGGAGCATAGCAGGGAACAAACCAAGGAAAACAGTCCCATTACACATACACAGTAAGCGAAGAGCCAGAAAGTTAGCTTAAAGGTAGCTTAGAGACAAGGTGAATCTCAGAGCTGTCCTGCTGCCATCAGGGAGCACCCTGTATAAGTCCTAATAAACTCATCTAGTGGTCAAGCTGGACGTGTCTGACTTTGGTCTCTTGGCTCCTTCCCAGCTTGTTGGGGGTGGTGGGATGCTACAGTCCCAGGGTTTTCTTTCTTTCTTTTTAATTTTTCTTTTATTTTTTGAAAAAGAGTTTTGGTCTTGTCACCCAGGGGTGTGATCTCGGATCACTGCAACCTCTGCCTCCACCTCTCAAGTAGCTGGGATTACAGGTGCCCACCACCACACCCAGATCTTTTTTGTGTTTTTAGTAGAGATAGGATTTTGCCATATTGGCCAGGCTGGTCTCAAACTCCTGACCTTAGGTAATCCACCCATCTCAGCCTCCCAAAGTGCTGGGATTACAGGTGTGAGCCACTGCATCCAGCCCAGGTTTTTCTCATTACAATAATTTTGGTTAAATTATTATACATTATTTTAAAGGAACCAACAAGTTCTGTACCAGTCAATATGCTGCTGGTTCACGCATTTTCTATGTTTGGGTATACAATATAAAAATAACATGGGTTCTCGCTTTGACCGCACATACACTAAACTGGAATGATACAGAGAAGATTAGCATGGCCCCTGCGCAAGGATGACACGAAAATTCATGAAGCATTCCATTGAAAAAAAAAATAACATGGAATAAGAATGGAGTTTTGGAGAACTACTGATTACATTTTTAAAAAGTCAAGATCAAGGTTAATCATATATATTGCAAGAAATTATATCTAATCAAAGGATGCATTCCAATGAAAACAAAACAACTAGTTCAGGTGTTTTGTCATAAAAATAAAAATGCATATCTTCTAAGGATCAATACCTTTAGACATTTGCCCGATTACTTGGAATATTTGTGATCACCTCTGAATAATCACTTCATAGTAAGTTATTTAAACTAAAAGTGGGCATTGATTAAAGGTAATAGATAAATAGTTGCAATATATAGTAAGCAACTTGTCAGGGATTTTGACTGTGCATACTGTTCTAATGCACTTCATACATGTGGTGAAGTTAGCAAATAAGAAAACTCAGACTCCACAACCCTTTACACAGTCTTGATATCTTGTTAATACTGTTGTCGACTTAGCAATGGAATTTAGCATTTTATTCTTTCAAATGAGCTTTCTCCACAATATCTGTATTAATTGTATTTTTATTCATACTGAAGTCCTTCTCAATTTCCAGGCTTGGTACCTCAGTTCCAGTTATGATTCAGCCCTCATCCTTATTCCTCAACTAGAGCCACCATTTTGCTTATGCTTGCATTATCATACATTGTACCTCCCCTTTTCCTCTCTCCGATTTCATTAGTTCAGAATCTTATCAAACCAGTGTAGTCTCACTATTTTGCATAAAATTATTTAATATTACCTTATAGCAGATAGGATAATAGCCAGAGTCTTCAGCTTGGCATTCAAGATTTTTCGCAGCATAAACTAAAGCCCAGATGTGTGATCTGATTTTCCTTTTATTTATTTCACATTGTACTCCGACCAACTTGAGCTGTCCTGGAAAATGCTATTGCCTTTCTTGCCTCTAATTTTAACTTCTGAGGTTTTTTTTTGCTTTCACCCTCCAATGTCTATGCCTGTTGAAGGCCTCTTAACCTTCTCAGATCATTTCAGTTCAAAACACTCTTTCCTGCAACTTGAAGTCAGAGTGTCTCATTCTCAACGTCATTGTCTGTGCTCTTCTTTAGGATGTATGTGTCTTATGTCTCTCCTTTGAGCATATTTTAGAGCCCTTTAGATAGCATCTAGTTTTTTTTTTTTTTTTTTTTTAAAGTAGTCAAATGAAGCTACTTAGGAGAATTGAATACACTAATTTTTTTTTTTTTTTTTTTTTTTTTTTCTTGAGAGGGAGTTTTTGCTCTTGTTACCCAGGCTGGAGTGCAATGGCGCGATCTCGGCTCACTGCAACCTCCGCCTCCTGGGCTCAGGCAATTCTCCTGCCTCAGCCTCCTGAGTAGCTGGGATTACAGGCACGCGCCACCACGCCCAGCTAATTTTTTTGTATTTTTAGTAGAGACGGGGTTTCACCATGTTGACCAGGATGGTCTCAATCTCTCGACCTCGTGATCCACCCACCTCGGCCTCCCAAAGTGCTGGGATTACAGGCTTGAGCCCCCACGCCCGGCTCTGAATACACTAAATTTTATTATGATGAGAGATGTGCTGTGACAACACTTCTGCCTTTCTCAGACTCAAGTTCTCTCAACTTTCTGAGCTATATGGGTTATGGCACTCAGGTTCTGAAGATTTTTGCTAAAAGAACATTTCAACAAAGACCTTGATTCTACAGGTCTCTCTCACTCTTGCTTCAATAGTCACCACAGAATGGATAGCAAGGACAATACTGTTTGGAATAAATATGTCTATGGAGCAGATTAATTTAAAAGGCAAAAGATCAGAGGCTATAAAGAACCAGATTCGGTGAGAAAATCTGTTATGAAAGCTAAATTAATGAACCTATTTTGTTTATTTTGCAACTATAAGTAGCAGCATTAGTTTTTTTTCCTGGACTTTTATGGTTTCATTTGCTCTGGGTATTTTATTTACTTAAAAAAAAAACTTTCCAGGTGGTCTCATAAATTATCAATATGTCCCAGAAATTTCAGTATATCAGCAATTAAAAATATATTCCTTAAGTGTAAATCACTTCAGCCATTGTGAAAGACAGTGTGGCAATTCCCTAAAGATCAAGAGGCAGAAATACCTTTTGATTCAGCAATCCCATTACTGAGTATATAGTCAAAGGATTATAAATCCTTCTATTAAAAAGGTACGTGAATGCATATGCTCACTGCAGCATTATTTACAGCACATCTCTCATCATAATAAAATAGCAGAGACATGGAATCAACCCAAATGCCCATCAATGATGAACTGGATTAAGAAAATGGGGTACATATACACTATGGAATACTATGCAGCCATAAAAAGGAACGAGGTCATGTCCTTTGCAGGGGCATGGATGGAGCTGGAAGCTGTTATTCTCAGCAAACTAACACGGGAACAGGAAACCAAATGCTGCATGTTCTCATTTCTAAGTGGAAGCTAACAATGAGAACACATGAACATATGGGGGAAGCTATGCACACTGGGACCTGTGGGTAAGGCTTAGGGTAGGGAGAGCATGGGAAAAAATAGCTAATGGATCCTGGGCTTAATACCTAGGTGATGGGATGATCTGTGTAGCAAACACCATAGCACACATTCCCTTAGGTAAGGCATTGCACTTCCTGCACAGGTACCCCTGAACTTAAAAAGTCGAAGGAAAAAAATAGACATATCTCGTAGACTACTACTTCCATGTGGGAAAATTATCTGATCGTCAGCAGATATTCTTTAAATAAAAAATATTGTCTATGCTGGTCCAAAGGGTTCCAAATGGACCAGATCATCAGTTGATTAAAATACAGAGTTAAAAATACCTGTTTTAAAATAGGTCTGAGTTCACTTGCAGCTGAGGATCTAGACCTCAAACAAAGATGTAATAGAGAATTGCTTTCAGCTGAGAAACTGTATTGGCTACGAATGCCTCATTCCAGTATGTTTAAGCTCCCATTAGTTTTGGAATTGGGACAGTCTGAAACAGTAAAGCATAAAATAACATGGAACATATCATAATTTTCCGAAAGAAAAATAGAATGCCATAGACATATTAAAACAAAGAGTTTTTGTTGCTCCGTGGGCTGTGAATTGATTTTGAAAGCTTTCCTCTGAATGGCTAATGGGATGAGGGCCAGAGGGAAAGATGTCACCACACAGGGTAATGGAAAAGGAGCTTCTGGAAGATAAACTAATCTATGTTCCTGGCCTGGTCTTGCCATTAGGTGAATTACATAGCATGGTGCCTGGCACCTGCACACTTAATAACCATTAGCTCCTTTCCCTTCTATTGGTAATAAAAAATGATCTAGTTATAAAATTATATTGTGGAAAATAAGAATTTTATTTTTTAAGAACTAGGTATTTGTATTATTAACAGAGTAATAATGTAATATAATATATAAATGTATGACCGCTTGCTTCCTCATATTTTTCCGATAAAAGTAGAACATAAACCGTATTTGTCATTTTTAATTTTCTAGTAACTGTATTAAAGTAAAAAGAAACAAATTAATTTTAGTGATTCTTGTTTAACTCACTGTTTCCAAAATATCATTGCAGCATGTAATTAATATGAAACATTATTAAGGAGATACTCCACATTCTTTCATTTTTTGCACTAGGTCTTTGAAATTCAACATGTATTTCACACTTAGACCACATCTCAATTCAGAATAGCCACATGTAGAGTGCTCAATGGCAACTTACGATTAGTAGCTATTTTATTGGACTCTGGAGACTTAGATAGATTTTGTGGAAGTGAAAAAAGGCCTTGTTTTTCTTTTTGAGTTTTTATTTTAGAATCGAGGTCTATGTACAGGTTTGTTATAAAGGATATGTTACATGATGCCGAGGTTGGGGGTATAAATTAAGCTGTCACTCAGGTAGCGAGCGTAGTGCCCAATAGCAGTTTTCCAGCCCTCTTTCCCCCAGTAGTCCACAGTGTCTATTGTTTCCATCTTTATGTCCATGTTTACCCGATGTTTACCTCACACTTAAAAGTGAGAACCTACAGTATTTGGTTTTTCATTCCTGTGTCGTTTGCTTAGAATTACTGCCTTTAGCTGTATCCATGTTGCAGCTAAGGGGATGCTTTTGTTCTTTTTTATGGCTGTGTAATATTCTAGGATGTATATGTACCACATTTTATTTATCTAAACCATTGCTGGGCACCTGGTTTGATTCCATGTCATTGCTATTTTGAATAGTGCTGTGGTGAACTTATGAGTGCATGTGTTTTTTTGCTACAATGATTTATTCTCCTTTAAGTATATACCCAGTAATGGGATTGCTGGTTGAATGTTAGTTCAACTCACTTCTTTGAGACATCGCCAGACAGCTCTCCACAGTGGATGACCTAATTTACGTTCTCACCAGCCGTGTGTAAGTGTCCCTTTTTCTCGGCAGCCTTACTAACATCTGTTATTTTTGGACATTTTAACAAAAACGATTCTGACCCGTGTGAGATGGTATCTCACTGTGATTTTGACTTGCATTTCTCTGATGCTTAACAATGATGAGCATTTTTTCACGTGTTTCTGGGCATGTGTACATCTTATTTTGAGAAATCTCTGTTCATGTCCTTTGCCCACATTTTAACAGAGTTATTTGCTTTTTGCTTGTTGATTTGTTAAAATTCCTTATAGATTCTGGATATTAGACCTCTGTTAGATGAATAGTTTGGAAATACTTTCTCCCATTCTGTAGGTTGTCTGTTTATTCTCTAGATGGTTTCTTTTGCTATGCATATGCTCTTTAACTTAACTTTTGTTTTTGCTGCAATTGCTTTTGAGGACTTAGCCATAAATTATTTGTCGAGGCTGACATTCAGAAGGCTGTTTCCTGAGTTTTCTTCTAGGATTTTTATAGTTAGAAGACTTACATTTAAATCTTTAGTCCATTTTGGTTAATTTTTGTAGATAATGATAAGAGTGATAGGTAGGGGTCCAGCTTCATTCTGCTGCACATGGTTAGCCAGTTATGCCAGTATCATATATTGAATAGGAAGTCTCTTCC